AGCCGGAGCAGGGCGAGGGGGCTGCGGGGAGAGGGAGGACGGGGCTCCGCGCGCCACCATTTTGTATCCATTCGCGGGTCTCTCCCACATATAGGACTCTACATAAACCTAGCCGGCGCAAACCCCGAGCCCCTGTTGCCCTCTTAGGAAGGGGGAGGGGGGAGAAGGCCGAGCGAGCAGAGGGGAGAGGTCCGTATGGTCTGTAAGAGCATAATTTTGTTTTATGTTTGTCATGCGTGAGACGACAAAACCATCACCAAAATAAATCGAAATAATGACCAAATTAATGACAAAATAAAGTCGTATTGATGCAAAGTCGATTTGCCATTATTATGGGTTTATGTTGTCATTAATTTGCCATAGAAGTGGTCAGACTTACGACAAATTAATGACGAAATAATCTCTAAATGATGACCAAAACTCAAGCTGAACGAAGAACCACGCGCCGCCTCGAGGTGGAATCGAACCACGCACCTTGCGCACCGCAGCGCAGGACTGTATCCACCGACCGGGCCAGAGAGTAGACATGCAGGGCGGGATCACTACCCGCATGATATGAGACAGGTTCGGGGCCCAACACAACACACGGTATGCATGCGAGGAGCTGGCCCACGCTTCAAAGAACACATAAACCACACGTCGCTCGTCCTTTAATGATATGGTTAATTGCTGGTTTAGTCACTCAAGGAATTCTCAGGGAATCATATAATCACTGTGCCACGCTGCGCCGCCCACTTCTTTTCAATGATTTGCTTCTAACTCCTCGCATGCGTACCATGTTTTGTGTTGAAGGGTCCCAAACCTGTCTCGTATCATGCGGATAGTAATCCCGCCCCGCATGTCTCCTGGATAGGTGGGTACAGTGCTGCGCTGCGGTGCGCAAGGTGCGTGGTTCGATTCCACCTCGAGGCGGCGGCTGGTTTTTGGTTCGGCTTGAGTTTTGGCCATCATTTAGAAATTATTTCGTCATTAATTTGTCGTCAAACTGACCACTTCCATGGCAAATTAATGACAAAACAAACGCAAAATAATGGCAGATCGACTTGGCATCCATACGACTTTATTTTGTCATTATTTTGGTCATTATTTCGATTCATTTTGGTGATTGTTCTGTCGTTTCACGAATGACATACATAAGACAAAA